AATGACTATTTTATTAATTTAGTTGTCAATCACTGATAGATTTAACGGTCAATCATTGATAGACTCAACAGTTAATCAATTGACTCAATCATTTTTTATTATTAATCAACATTAGTTAATAATGAACCAAAATTAAGTTGTAATTTATTTGTTTCAATCAACAAATTATATGTTTATTAATAATAAATTATTGATAAATTAATAATGAATCGGTCAATCACTGATTGACTGCGCTGATAGACTATAGTCTATAGGTCAATTGCTGATTGATTTATGTAAACATAACGACCATTTTTGTAAAATAAAAAAAATTCAGCCATTTGTGAAAAGAGGTTGTTAAAAAATGCAGTGGTTAAAAAATGCCACTCAACTCAATTTTTCAAGAAAAAAATTCTGAAAAGTCCTCTCAAAAGCAAGACGACATGTCATTTTTTACATTATCATCGATCATGTCATGTGCTTTCAGATAATTTGTACATATAGTCCTTATGTAACACCCTGAAGAATTAAATGAGAATAATTAAGGTAATTGAGATTATTAGTGTGCTTAATCTGGATTATTAATTGAGTATTAATTAATAAATGTTTCTGACACGTGTGAGTTTAAATAGTTTCAAGGTATTTAAATTATTCTCAGTAATTTATTTTAACCCAGAAGTGTGTATGGGCGCATTTCTAGACTGCTCTTTTAAAATATTGTGCACATGTCCTTTTCTTTTTCTTTTTCCTTTCCTTTTCTTTTTCCTTTTCTTTTCTTTTCTTCCTTTCCTATTCCTTCCCGTGCACTTTCTCTCTCTCTCTTTTTCACTCTCGCTCTCTCTCTCTCTCTCTCTCTCTCTCTCTCTCTCTCTCTCTCTCTCTCTCTCTCCCATTTTTGTCCCAAATCAAACGGATCTTGAACCAAGGAAAGATTTGAAGAAGTTTTTAACGTCAAGAGAAGGATTCGAGGTAAGATTATTGAAAGAACCTCTCTTGAATCTCAAGTTTTTGAATTTCAAAACTTATTTTTGGTTCAAACCGGATATTGATGGTTTTTGAGTAAAACTAGGGTAGAAATTAGAGATCTAGGGTTCTTTGGACTTGTTTTAGGACCTAGAACCCGGATCTAGTGGTTTTCTTTTGAAATATTTCAATTTGGAACGGAGATTTACAGGTTTTTGGACTGGTTTCCGCGAGCTTCTCTCGCGCAGCTGGTGCCACCGGTCGACCGGTCTGGTCGACCGGATCACATGGTAACCGGTCGATCAGTGCGGTCGACCGGATTGCATTGGCCTGACTGGTTGACCGAAGTGCACACCACCGGTCGACCGGTGGTAATGCAATGTTCTGTCACCGGTCGACCGGTTGACATCGGGTTTGACCCTGTTTGGTCTGAAATTGCTGTTTTGACCCCTGTTTTCGGGGAGAACCCAAATTAGCTTCATTTGGGGACTTGAGATAAATGGATTAGCATTATTAATCCTTGATTTGAGATTCTGTTTTCAAAAAGGATTTCGGCCTTGGAAATGTTTTAAAGAAAGGGGTTGGTTTGCGAAAGAAAAACTCTTTGAAAACCATGGCTTGTCCTATCCATGGAATTCATAGCTTGTCCAGTCATGGAACCTCATGGCTTACCCAGTCATGGGGCCCGTGGCTTGAGTAGTTCGTGGGGTCATATTAACGATTTCAGAAAAGTTAATGAATGATTTCTTAAGCAAAGAGATCTTGTGAACTGGTAAGAGAGTCTATTTCTGTAAGCCTAGATAGGATGCGGATAGTACATCCTCGGGGGCAGAACCCAAAACTCGGTCCGGGTAGGCGAGGCACTTGGTTAGGTAAGTAATTTGTACTAATTACTTGCTGAAGCCTGCAATACGGTTATTTTCAGTTATATTTCCTTTGAGAAAAAGGATGTGAGGTTCCGGCTGTCTGTTGGAACTGAATGTCTATTTATTCATTTATCCATTTATTTATTTACTCGCACATTTACCTTTAAGTCACTTCAAATTATATCCTACTGGGCCTTTCGCTCACGTTTTATGTTTTAAATGTGTTAACCCCCCTCCTAGGAGATTCTAGGAGCGGTGCACAGTAGCTGGGTATTTGCTACGGAGCAGCTGAGTTGTGCTGCTGTTAGAATCAAGTAAGGATTGTGATCATCCTCTAGAATATAAATTGTAAGGAATTTGAGAATTCTGTAAATTCTAGAAATATTTGGATTAACTAGACTGTGGTTGATGTCTGTTGTAATTGATTATTTACATGTTCATGTATGTACGATACTGTATGTCCTGTGGGTGGAGCCCTGTGTGTTGTCAGAGGCTCGGGATTCTGTAATTTATTTATATTTTAATTCAGTCGAGTGGAGCTCTCTGGGAACTTGCTTTATTAATTCATAATCGAGCTCCGCGTCACCCACCCCGTTTGGGGGGCGTGACACCTTAACATCTTTAGTAAGTGACAGTTTAATTCTTATTTTTTCTAATTTTAAAAAAATGACCATAAACTTTTTAAACTGGTTCAATTAAAACTTTTCTGTTAAGATCCGTCCAAATAATATCAGGAGAAGTCACATGACGCCTACGTGACCTATTAACTCGGGATATGTGTAAAAACACAACCACAGTCGAATTAGAGGTGATGTTTAGGTGATGAAAATAAGAAATTAGGTTGAATATTGGGTAATTTCTATGCTAAATGTAATTTCTCTACTAAGTGAAGAGAGGTTGAGCAAGGCCGTGATGGCGTACTCTTGCGTCTAGGGATCACTACACCAAAAGAGAGGAATCAAAGCAGAAAGGAACTGGACTCACCAACCAACGCAAGGAGCTTAAGCTTCGCCGTCATCGCCGATCGAAGACGATTGCTGTGACGCGTTCTCGACGGCGTTGAACTCTGCCGGCAAGTTCTGCCTTTGTTTACTTATCCGTCAGCCTCGGATGCTAGGGTTTCCGCTGGACGAGAGCAAAGTTCTCTCCCTGCCTTCCCTTGCCCTCAGAGGAATCCGCCTCTACAGGTGATTTGCTCCGGTTCTTGAACTAACCATCTTCCTTTTCTTGAGTTCCTAAAAACAAGTACTTGAACATGATTTTGTAAAAAAACTTACAAGTCGTATTTAGAACTGATCCTGTTTTTATTTTTTACGTTTTTTGAGAAAGAAAAAATAAAAATATTTTTAAAATAGTGTTTGGCGCAATAAAAATAAAAAATGAAAATGAAAATAATTTTTTAATTTAGTGTAAAATGAGAGAAATAAAAAATGACTTTTAGTTGTTTTTTCATTTTTCATTTTTATTTTCTCCTCTCTCAAGCAGAGAGAGAAAGAGAAACATTAATAGATTGTTTTACACTAAAAATAATCTCTTAATAAAAGTACTAATGCATTTTCAAAAATGATTTATGTCTGAGATTAAAAACGTTTTCATTTTCATTTTCATACAAAAAATAAAATCATTTTAGAACTAATTTTAAATGCGCCCATCATTTCTTGCTCTTTTTATGATTTTTCTTGGTTTTTCTTTTCTTTGTGGAATGATAACTTGAAATTTGTTATTCAACAGAGAATGATTCTGGAGCAATATCTCCTGATTTAGATATTTCAAACCCTCATGATTTTAGTATATTTTCTTGGCTAATTATCTTTCAACATTAAGAAATACTCACGGGCTGGAGACGTCGGAGATTTTCGTTTGAGATTTTATTAGAAAATCTCATCGTGAAAGTAGTGGGGGAGAAAAGGAAGCCGGAGGTTGAAGAAGATGATGAACTAGTGGATTGTGGATTTAAAAGTCTGGTTTTCTTTTTGAAACCCTAAAGGCTTGTTCAGTTGTATTTTTAAGTTATGGTGATTTGAGTGTAGATTTTGAGTTGAATTTGAGTTATAACTTGAGTTGAAGTTGTAACTTGAGTTTGTGTTTGGTTGTGTACATTTGAGTTATGGTTTGAGATAAGAATCTTTTTGAGTTTGTACTTGGATGAGTCAAAATTTGAGTTTGTATTTAGATAGTATTTTAATAAAAACTCAATGATGATGGAAAATTTTAATAGGGTATATAGGTGAGGTTTTATTCATCTTTTTATTGTGAACGCATAAAAAAAGAATTATCTTAATCGGAATTAAAACGAAAAAGTTATAGCGTTTTTAAAATAAAAAAAATATTGTTCATTAACTTGAATTTGAATTTAAGAATTTGAGTTGAATGAGAAATTTAAACTCAAATTTTAACTCCGAACTCAGATTTTAACTCCAAACTCAAGTTAAAATTTAAGTTTAAACTCAAATTTTATAAAAAAATATGAACTTAAATAAAATTGTAACTTGAATTTAAATTTTTTTGAGTTTAAGTGTAAACAAACAAATCCTAATTCATTCTAAAAAATGAAGATAGAACCGAATAAATAAAGAGTAATTTGTGGGTTAAATCAATTTTAGGATAATTTCTGGTCTTTCTAACGTCCTACAGGGTCACGTGACTTCTCCTCCTGTTATTATTTGGACGGAATTTAAAGAAATATTTTAATTGTATCAATTTAAAAAGTTGGAAGTCTTTTTGTCAAAACCAAAAAAAAAAGGGATTAAATTATCAATTATTAGAGGTTAGGGATGACATGTGTCAATTATTTTATGTTTTTTTTAGATATATTTAGTTCGTTGATTTAAATTTTTAATTTAAATTGAGATATAATTTTTAAAATTTTTTTTTTATTATAATAAAAAAATTAAATGGAGTTGTTTTTAAAAATTTTTACTCTAATAAAATTTGAATTCTAAACTCGAATAAGTGAACGGTCGCGTCTATCACACTGGCATATCGCAGAAAAAATACAGATGCGATTTCTTCCGGTTTCCAAGCTCGTCAACTTCTCTAATGGCGAATCTGCCATCTTCGTCTTCTCCGCAATCACTTTCCTCAGCCTCCAATTCCGACAACTCCCCCGCCACCACTACTAAACCCACTTCTCACTCTTCTCTCTTTCCTAAACTCCAGGTTTGTCTCTCCGTCTCTACTCCACCTATATGTGTGTATATAAATATATCTATATATATGTGTGTGTGTGTGTGTATATATATATCTGTATATATGTGGTGTATGCAGTTTTTCTTTTACGGGCTTTCTCTTCTTCGTTAGGTTGACGCTGGGGAAAACAATTTCGACGAGAAAACGCCTGAAGTAGCTACCAATTTTCAGTGAGTATTTTCTCTGAAATATTTCACCAAAATTTTTTTCTTACTGTGCTCCTAAAATGTTAGGTTTTCCAAATCTTTGCTGGGAACATGTGTTCCAATAATTTTCTTTCCGTTAATTGGGATCTTCATACCTTCGTTTAACAGTTCTTATGAGTAAAATTTAGTTAGAAAATTGTACACTTATCTTTGTGCACGTCTGTCTCTCCCCATTTTTTTTTCTTTTGAATATTGCTCTGAAATTGAGGAAAAATTCTTATTTGTATAAAGTTTCTTTGCCATTAAAATGAAACTTTTTTTTTTATTTTTTTATTTTAAGGACACTAGAAGAGTTCCCACCCTGATCTGGGGATAGCTCTATTTTGATTTCTGATGTTATTATCCTATAGTTCTGTGTTTTGCACCATGAGTGGCGCTTTCTAGCAAATAGTAGAAATGAAGTCAAAATTTATATCTGAGAACTTTTCTTAGGCCGTCTTTTATTATATTACCAAGTTTTGTATGTGGTCACAAGTTTTTTCCGCTAAAATTTGATTTTTTTTCTAGAAGTTGATTTTTTTTCATGGATCTTCTTAACTCTTCTAGTTTCTGCCACGAGACTTTTGAGTATCTGTCTCTACATAGTACATGTAGTCTTTGATTGGGTGTCTAAAAAGATATGAGAAATTCACTCATTTTTAATTTTGAGCCATTGGCCGGATGATTTACAGTTTCTGCAGTTTTTCAGATACCTTTATCTTGCAAACCACATCGAGAAGTTCAAGAAATATGTCTGCTTTTATTTTTGGTGCTTTTATTTTGTTCCAAGCAGTTTAAGCAACTTATTACTGAATTCTTTAGTCTAGTAAATGTCTGCTATTGCTTTTCTCTTGACCATCATTTTTTTTTTCTGTCTCATATTTTACTAAAATGCTTTGTTGGTAGAAAATTTTCGTCATAGTGATTTTCTCTGAAAACTACAGTATGCCATTAACTAAGTCTTGGCTTAATCACTAAAAGTTTGAAGGCTTGTGTTTGTAAGACAGTATCACATCTCTACTTATTTTAGTGCATGTTTTTAATCTATGGTGTTTTTGTTATCCCCTCTAATTAATCTTCTTTATTGGTTTCTTTCTCTCTTAAATTATGTCTTCTGCACTTGATGCATTGGTTTTCTCTGCTATATCATCAAATGTGGTAGCTCTTTCGTCATAACTAGTTCTTGCTGCTCACATGATTGTTGCATTTGTCTGTCGTCCTCGTAGGCAACGTATTTGATGAGAATGTTACAATAGACAATGAACTTATAAAGTCAAGCAGGTAAAGCACATTGAAGATCCTGTCAATCAACTGATAATTTATTTGGATTTACAGAATCTAATCAAAGTTTGGCTCTGTTTCTGCAGATGGCCGTGTATGCGATCGTATGCAGACACAGTGAAGGCTTTTGAAGACCAGAACAGCAGTGAATCAGTCACTGTTAATGAGACCCCGTCTAACATCTCAAACGGAAAGCACCTTCCGAAGAAGAATGGTTAAGTAAAGTTCTCAAATTTTCTCCCCCATTCTTGTAAAATGTTGTACAATAAATGCTATGATTGAGATAAGCCAGACTTAGGAAACGGACACGAGCTTACAATGGCCTCTAAACACTCACAATGAACTCCAGCTGTCTACAGCTATTGATGACTTTGAACTTACGTCTATTACATACTACACAGCTTAATGATGAGACATGTGAGGAAAAAAAATTGAAATCAAACATTTCTAAGGAAATCGACATGAACCTATAGCCGAAGTTGAACATGATAACTAGACTACGTCTCAGTAAAGCACATATGTGGATTCATCAGTCATGTATGAACCGGCTGGGAGGATTGTTATATATGCTCTTACTTTGGATACGAAACAAACTAGCAAGCAATCATTAGGTTTGTCCTTTTCAATGTGTATAATGTTTCGTTTTATTTATTTGATAATTTGAACTGCTAGAATTTTATTGATATTTGTTAAACGGCCATACTTTTCATAATTTGATATGATTCGATGCTTCATAAAGGGATCTTATTGCCATAGTTTGATTCCATACCAAATCACAAAATCCTCTTTTTCCTTTTTTGTTTTTTTTTTTTTCCTTTTGAAACTTTTGTAGTAAGAATTGTTATTTTCTTATCAGTAGGAACTATAATTTTAACCATTAGATTAGTTTTTCACGAGTGGGAGGACTTATGTGCCATGCACTGTAAATTTTAATGTGGTCCTGCAAGGACTGACCGTTCAAAAACTAATCTACCTAATGATGGGAGTAAAATAGTAGTTCTACTGTACGAGTTCCTTTTTTTTTTTTTTTGTTGGTTCTGTAAGTTGTACGTTGCTTCTTTAACAACTGTTACATACTTTTGTTTTCAGTCCTTAAAATGAGGGGTCATTTCTCAGTGGATGATTTGGTACTCAAATACGGAGGAATATCTTTCCTAAGCTTAATGGACTATCGGGATGCAGTGATGGCTAGAGAAAAGTGAATCAAGCAAGCATTTTAGTGATTTTTTTCGTCTGAGAGATGCCTTTATTGGATAGTAGAATTATGATGCAAAACTACACTACTTGAGCTACATGAAATATTGTCGTATTAGTTTTGCCTTTAGATGGCTTAAACTTTGGATGAACCAACAAGAGATTGCGTGTACTGCTTTGAAGGAAGAGCAATCCGATGGTTTCTTTCTGATGTTTCTTTTTTTGATATGATTGCTTATTAAGTTATTGAAGAATTCCATTATTGTCTCATAAATGGAAAAGATTATCTATACCTGAGGTTGAAAAAATCTAGCTGAAGAACCATCTTGTTTTCTTGTTCTTGGGTTTACAATATATTACTGAAATTTTGTCAAAATTGAAAAGGAGAAGGGAAACTACTTGAAAAAGTATACTATTAACGTTAGATAGAAGTTTTAGTATACCGTGCAGTTTTATTTTGGCCGTTAGATGATGAAAATAAATTATTTCAGCCGTCTATTTTCTTTTTTCTACTAAAATTTTACAATTGAATGGCTAATAGATTCTCTCTCTCTCTCTCTCTCTTTTGGCATCGTACAGTGATTGAGATTTGAGCAACATATATATCAAATTTTTAGGTTGTACCGTTATTTTCACCTTAAAATTAAATTGCCTATTCATCGTAACCAAACTTCTATAAAATTTTAATGCATAAAGAAGCCAACAATATCGAAAGAAAATATTGAATTTATGGGAAAGTAATCGTGATGATAAGAATCCCAAATTATTAAGGGAGGAAGAGGAGGAGGCGGAATAAATAACACAATCATTAATAACTATTAATGATATAAATGAGCTTGTGTAACTAGTGAGCATATTTTCCCTTAAACTGCATTGGCCTTGACTAAAAAAAAAAAAAAAATCAATTTCAATGCCACAAGCTTTGATCTCTATTATGATACAATTGAGCTTGATACAATTGACCTTCTCAAGTCCTGCAATGGCAAATTTGCCATCTTCGTCTTCTCCGCAATCACTTTCTTCAGCCTCCAATTCCGACAACTCCCCCACCACCACTACTAAACCTACTTCTCACTCTTCTCTCTCTCCTAAACTCCAGGTTTTTCTCTGTCTCCACTTTACTATATATATATATATATATATACATATATACTCCCGGTCTATGCAACTTTTCTTATTTAGGTCTTCTTTTCTTTGTTAAGTTGACGCTCGAGAAAACAATCTTGACGAGAAAAAGCCTGAAGTAGCTACCAATTTTCAGTCAGTATTTTTTCTGGAATATTTTACAAAATTTTATTTGTATTGTGTTTCTAAAATGTTAGGTTTTTTCAATCTTTTTTAGGAAAATGTGCTGCAATATTTTCTTTTCCTTTAATTGGGTCTTGATAACAATGCTTATGAGAAAATGTTGTGAAACTAAACATTGAACCAATTGAGAATTAAAGCATGTGGAACGTGAGTTATCTCGTGGTAGCGTCTGTAGGCCGTAAAAACGTTGTCGAAAAATCGCTGGAGCTGATGGTTCAAATAAGCTCTCCTCCTTCTCCCCCTCTACCACAATACTCCAAGCACTCGCCCAATGACCACACCCCAAAATATATAGACGCGTTAGCTTTCTTATTTTGGGCTCACATTTTAAATGGTCTATGGTGCTTATTTTAATTGTGTTGAGGGTCATTTAATCCAATGGACTGACCAAAACATTTATGAGAGAGGGAGTACATAGGTCTCAAACTAGTCAACAAAATGAGTGTTCGTTCCATTATAGACCGATATTTGATATCATACATAATTAAATTCCTAATAACACAATTGTCCAATAATATGTTATAATTAATAATAGAATGAATTATTATGATTATAAAAGTCTACATAAAAATATTCCTATCAGAACACTTACCTTTGTGCACATTTATATATATATATATATATATAGTGCCAAGAAATTGAGGAAAAAATTCTTATTCCAATAAAGCTTCTTTATTTTTATAAGCAACCCACTAAAATGAATCATTTTTTTAATGACACAAGAAGAGTTCACACCCTGAACCGAGGGTAGTTTTATTTTGAATTCTGATGTGATTATCGTATAGTTCCTTGTATGTTTTGTTTTGTATAACTGTAAACTTTCCGTGGGTGCCCCAGTTTTTATTGAATTCAAAGAAATCTACAGTAGAAATAAAGTCAAATTTTATACTTGAGAACTTTTCTTAGACATTCTGTTATTATATTACCAAGTTTCAGATACGGTCACAAGTTTTTACCCCTAAAATTTGATTTGTTTCTAGACGTTGATTTTCTATCATGGATCTTTTTACCTATTCTAGTTTCAGCCATGAGAATTTTGAGTGTCTCGACATAGTACATATTGTATTTGATTGCGTGTCTGAAAGAATATAAGGAGTTCTCACATTTGTAATTTTGAGTCATTGGCCGGATGATTTACAGTTTCTGCATTTGTTCAGTGATCTTTATCTTGCGAACCACATCGAGAAGTTCAAGAGTTATGAAGCTGACTACACCCATAGGTTGATGGCAAAATACTTCTCTAAGAACAATCTCTATGTAGGTAGCAGTGATTTCCTCTTTTTCTTTTATGCTTATTAGAGCTTAGTTTTCAGTGCTTTTATTTGGCTCCAAGCAGCTTAAGCGACTTATTTCTAACTTCTTTAGACTCGTAAATAATGTCTGCCATTGCATTTCTCTTGACAATTTTTTTTTTTTGTCTGTCTCATATTTTACTGAAATGGTTTAGTTAGTATTAAACTATTGTGTCCCATTGACCAAGTCTTGGCATAGTCACTGCCTATTTTTTTTTTTTTTTTTAAAAAGAAAATCCCCCGCTTTTAAGGCTTATGTTTGTACGACGGTATCACATCTCTACTTGTGTTTTATTGCATGTTCTTAATCAGCGTGTTTTTATCATCTCTTCTAATTAATCTTCTTTCTTGGTTAATTAGTTGTGTTTTCTCTCTCTTAAATTATATTACTGTTGATGGGGTGGTTCTTTGATATAGCATCAAATGTAATAGCATGTAGCTCTTTCGTCGTAATTAATTCTTGTTGTTCACATGATTGTTGTGTTTGTATGTCGCTCTTGTAGGCACCATATTTGACGAGAATATTACAATAGACAACGACTTATAAAGTCAAGCAGGCGGCGCGATTGGCTGGGTTCGCAAAGTAGGCAGCGTGATTGGGAGGCGGCTTGGCTGGGTTCGCAAGGTGTAGTAGGGTCGCGAGTGGGGATGCAGATGGACGGTTAGAGAGATTGTAATATGTCTTAATTAAGATTACAAGTTGTTTGAGTGTTAAAATATGAAAAATTCGTGTTAAAGGGACTTCAAAAGCATTGTGCGGGTTTATAAACGCTGCAATGGACAAACTGTACAAAACTGTGCAGTTTGGTTCGGCCAATATTTCGGCTGCAGCTGAAATGTTTGCGCTGCAGCAGAAAACTTCGCGCTGCAGCGCCCTTTTTTAGGCCTCTCAGGTCCGTTTGCGCGCTGCAATGGGAAAACACCCGCTGCAGCGAAAATTCTGCAGAAAAACAGTGCTTTCATGAAGTTATGTAATCTGAAACATCTCAAATCATTACATCCATTAGTGATATGTTTTCATACATATCTGCACACTAACTAGCAATAGATTTAACTATTATAGTATGTGTATTAATCCATGAAAAAATACATTTACATTGAAAATGTACCTTTATGTGAATGGTTGTAATGCTTAAAGAGGATGCATTCATTCATGAAATGGCACATCCGTCTTTATTAATTCTCCATAAAATTTACAAACTTAATTGAATGTTTTGAAACTCAATATTATTGCTAGATATTGTGTTCAAGGGTTTGTTGTATCTTGGGGGTAATTTGTCATTAAAACTCATTAGCAAACTTTAAGAAGCGATGACAAATAAAACCTTAAAAGGAAGTATTCTTATACTATGTAGTGAGGCGCCCAGGGGCCAGAATGGGCCAAAAATTCACATTTTTATTTATGTTTTGCATTCTAAAATTAGTACACGATTTTTAAGAATTAATGCAACAAGCGGCTTCATTTTTTGATGAATACTCTATTTTTTATGATTTTCTCTTTTTCGTCTTTGAAAAATAAAATAAAAATGATGTAAAACAATTCTGACATCTTACAGACATGATCATTACATTTTTCTGAGCATGCCTGCAAAAAATGGTCTAAAAAAATAAAAAAAGAAAAACGTTGCAAAAGAACCATGGCCTGCGTAGTGAGGTGCCCAGGGGCCAGAATGTGTCAGAAATTCACATTTTTATTTATGTTTTACATTCTAAAATTAGTACACGATTTTTAAGAATTAATGCGACAAGCGGCTTCATTTTTTGATGAATACTCTATTTTTTATAATTTTCTCTTTTTTCGTCTTTGAAAAATAAAATAAAAATGATGTCAAAAAATTCTGACATTTTACAGACATGATCCTTACATTTTTCTGAGCATGCCTACAAAAAAATGGTCTA